AAGAATATCATCATAGTATCCTCTTCACGATGTCCAAAAAGACTCGCCACGACGTCGCATCGCTCAAGGCAGATGGTTTGATCTCATACCCTATCCACGCTGACATGCCTCGTCTCCATATATCTTCCTTGGAAAGGATCCAGCACAATAAGCGGCACGGTATCGCAATTGAAGCTGACGCTTTTCCTTTCTTACCCAGCGGCCGTGATGAATCCCCACGAAGTCTGAAGGAAGGAGTTCCCCAGTGGGCCCCCACAAGGCACCAGATCGTGATTATGATGACCCTCTCTCTCATCTCCTTCATGGCTGCTCTCGACTCTTGTGTCATTGTGACATCTTTGAATGTTGGTGAAAATCCTGACCTTATGCATCTCATGTGGCGCTGATTCCAACATCCTAGGCGATTATCGTTGATCTTGATCTAAGCACAACCGAAGGAATCTGGATCGGTACGGCATATCTCCTAGCCAATGCCGTCACGATGCCCCTGCTTGCGGAGGCAAGCAACATCTTCGGACGCCCTACTATCCTGACTTCCTGCCTGATGTGTTTCACTCTTGGGTCACTCCTGTGCTCTGTCGCATACAACATCGCACTCCTTCTTGTCGGCAGGACTTTCCAAGGCGTCGGAGGGGCCGGGATTATGGTATTGAGCCTGGTGATATTTACAGACATTGTGCCTCTCCGCTTCCGGCCTCGGTGGTATGGCCTGGTGTAAGTTAGCACATTTGCCATGCTTTCTATATTGGCTGATGAGGAACAGACTTGGTGCCTGGGCGCTTGGAAATTGTCTTGGCCCGGTGACCGGCGGGATCATTGCCCAAGGCACCACATGGCGATGGGTATTTTACATCATGTTCCCATTGTGCGCAGTGGGGCTCGGACTTGTCCTGCGGTTCCTAACACTACGCGCGCCGCCAGCGACGCTGTGGCAGAGGATGGGTAAGATGGACTGGCTAGGTGGCCTGCTCTTTATCTCGTCGAGCACTCTATTCCTCGTTGCCGTCTCCTGGGGCGGCTCGCTGTACAACTGGG